CTGCAAGTGGTTATTCATTCCTTTGGCATTACCCTATAAGCGCTGGTTCCTTAGACGGGTAGAATTTTATTCTCGGCATTTTTTCTTGGTTGTTGGGAGGGTCCTAGTTTTGATTTTGTTTTCGTCAATAACACGCACCGAAAAAGCTTACAGGTGTCTCATACACACCCCTCCCCCCTCGCCAGGAGGGTCATTAATGCCGGAAATTGCTGGTAGTTCTTGACGAAAACAAAATTAAAAACTAGGACCGTCCCAACAACCAATAAAAAAATGCCGAGAATAAAATTCTACCCGTCTAAGGAACCAGCGCTTATGGGGTAATGCCAAAGGAATGAATAACCACCTGCCAGTGACTCATGCCTAGTTAAAAAAAACTTCAGAAATCGAGACCACGGCAGTATTTGACATGCATACAGGGATTTTTGGCTTTTAGGGACACACACGCAACGCAGATTTTAACAACTTAATGATTCACAATAAAAGAAAATATTAATCGAATTGACTTCGGGCCGGCGGCCATGGGAGAGACCGTGGCTGGAATCGATATAGCCCCGCCTGTCCCTGTCTGCGTCATGCGCCCAGTTCACAACCCTCTTCAGCACCACAAATTCATCTACACTTATTGCAGCTTGATTTTTTTTCAAGTGCCGTTTATTTGTCACATGTTGGCCCACGAATTCAATTATTACTGCTATCCATTTCACGCATATTTTGATCAATGGTCTCCTCCCTGCTCTCACACCAGTTTGGTGGAATTCACTCTTTGGTTCGAGGTGTTGCAACTTTACTATTTCTGAAAGCTGGTTGGATGTCTCGACCACCCTCGCCTGGCTTAGTTCATGATCTCTTTGAACGATAGGGCGTGCGACGCGGATTTGAACGCAGCCATGGCTGCCTTTTCCCACCAATGACGCCATGTCGAGCCCGCTACAATTGGTAGAAAATGTGCCCTTCGCTCCCGCCACACGCCTTACCGTTTGCAGGTATTATGACTGTATATTTGGGAGGGGAGGTGCTATTGAGGAATAATATTCCACACGGCGATGTTGCACCCTGTGCAGAACTCTTTAAGGCAACTAAAGAGCTTTATATTATCCCGAACCGCTCGTCGCAATGACCATAAATCCTCTTTAGCTTATATCTGTTGTTTATTATAACTTATATTTGTTTATACCTTGCGAAACTGGAGTGTGAAAGAATGGGGAAAATGACGAAATCTTGAGAATTGCGTGAATACGATCAGATTCGCTCCAATCGGAGGAACCCGGGAATCTGATTACCCCATCCATCAAGTCTAGAGATCCTAAACAAATCCTTTGTCGCGATTTCCCCGCCTCTCCCAATCCCACGATTCCTAGGTTCTCCAAACAGCGTTTCGCAGGGTATAAACGCAGCTTTAAAAGGACCCCTTCTTACTACACATTCCTTACGAACACTTCCATCATTTCTATTAGCAACCTTTATTCTTCATCCTCGACTCCAATGCACAGCCAGAGATCTTTACTTCCATCGGATGATTATGATAAAGTACAACACAACATAAATTCCAGCATAATGTACAACAATGGTGGGTGAATATACGAGGGGCAGGTACGAGTAGCATGAGTGTTTCCAGTGTAAAGTCCCTTTATTTCACAAAATCGAAAACGACACAAGACTGTAATGTTGAAAATAAACGCATCAGTGTATGAAGTCAATGTTGTGAAGGCATCATAGTTGTGATAATGGAATTGGATGGTTACACAATGTTTTAAATGATGAATACATAGAACCTAAGGTGGAGGTGCGACTTTCTGGCCTGGTTGCGGTTGACCTTTCTTGTTCATCAAGTAACGGTGAATGTGAGGGATAACACCTAAAAGATGAGTTTTATAAGATTATTTATGGTTTTGGAACGAAACCAGAAATGGCTCACGAACCTCCTCCAGCGATAGTTGCCTTGATAAGCGTGTCCAGCTCTTCATCTCCTCGAATAGCAAGATGAAGATGCCTAGGGGTGATCCTCTTCACTTTGAGATCCTTTGAAGCATTACCGGCTAATTCTAGTACTTCAGCGGTGAGATACTCGAGTATAGCGGCACTAAAAAGAACATTTTTTTGTAGATACAAAGTCAATCATTACTACTATTTCTGCCCAACGATCTCCAAGAAAGTGATCGTTAGACTAGTCCTTACCTGTAAACTGCAGCGGTTGCTCCAACACGACCTGTGGATGTGGTTCTTTGCTTGAGGAAACGATGAATACGTCCTACAGGGAATTGCAGTCCAGCTCGAGCACTGCGTGATATCACTTTCGATTTGGATTTTCCAGAGTCCTTACCGGCCTTTCCTTTACCGCCAGCCATTATTCTTCAAATACTGTTTTTATTAATTATTATTTTCCAAAAAAATGGACTTGGCCACGTATGAGTGCGGAGACTATGTCCCTTCTATGAAAAACAGTCACAAGTAATTCAAAAGAGGAAACGGCCTTCAAAACCCAGATTTTCGCAAAATCTTCGGACCACGAAGAGCAGGTGAACGCGAACGAATGCAGGAAAGCAAAGCGAGACACGCCGCAAGCTGCGGACGCGCGGGAATCAATGACGCCGCCACGCCCTGTTGGCACGCAGCCAACTGCGTTCAAATTCGAAAGGCGGTCTTGTCGCGAAAACACGAGCGCGGGCACAAATTGGGCATCGTGCCAAGATTGCGGTCGATAGCTCCTCCGTTTTCATAGAGAGAATTTGTTTTGGCCTTTAGCCTAATTTGGTGAAAGGGAAGATTAGCGTAGAGATAATCCCATATGTACTTTCAGCCGCAGTCGGGGCGTCATAGTATGCTACTTTAAAAAAACACCGTGGAAATGGACGATCTTTGTTCGCTATTCGTCAAGATGACTGTATTGTCCATAGGAGGAGAGAAGGAAAACTAGAACTGTCTTCAGAATTCTTGAGCTTCATGAGCGGATCATTCCCAAGTGTTTTCGGACTTTTTCACCCACGAAAAGGGCGAAGATGCTGAAGAGTCAGCCTAATAACCTTGGAATTTTTAAGAAGTTTGAAAGTCTTGGAAGGCTCCATAAAGACTTCTTATGGAGAAATGATTCATTGCAAAAGTTTCCTTAGCTTTATTGTGGTTTCGCCGAATTCGTAGTTCGTACAGCAGTCCGGGTGCAACAAATCTGCCGCTTCAATATTCTTCTCTTCCTTAATTTTATGTATTTCGCCGTTCATCAGTGAGCTCATGTGAACCGCTCAATTCACGGGGAAAACCACGGCCCTGTTTTGTTCCCTTTCGGGTTCACAGTATTCTAGTAACTATGCTATTTTGTTGTTTGCTTTTCTGTTATTGGGGTTTAGTTTACCTGCCTTTATTGTAGTGCGTCTGTTGAACGCAATAAGTGAATAAATTCTACACAGAATCTTTATGAAAAAATGTTTCTGTACTCACATGGCGAGATACGATCTTGATACTTTTCTCCATGGACTTTGAATGAGAGGCATTGTGTTTCTTTTTGATAGTTGTCAGATTATTTCATTAAGTCGCAGCAAGAACTTGCGTCGTGGTCGCTAGGGCGAGCGCCTGATTGTAAAACTGCTGAAAAACAAAGGCTCTTGAAAACTCAGTGATTTATTGATCCACCACAACTTTTCTGAAAACGGCACTTTTCTACAGTGAGAAAGGAAACTTTCTTTTCCTTTCTCACTTGTATCACAAAAAATGCTCTTTGTATATGTTGTTCTCGTGTGACTTTTCGTATCGTCAACAAAACCCTTCGGCTTTCAGTATCACTTTTTTAGGTTCTATCTCACATTTAAGGATATCAGAATTGCGTGCTTATTACAAGAAGTATATATTCCCAAGAATGTTTAGTTACTGGCTATTCGGTCTCCTGCCTGCCGTTGGGGAATTGCAAGATGAACCCTTCAGAATTCCCTCCTTTGGTACGACCTCCCTCCCCGAACCTTCACCGAGCGGAAAAGGGGGTATGTAGCGCACACACTATTTTTCAAAGGCAATACGCCGGAGATCCTGAACGTAAGAGGTGCCCTGTGGGGTGTTGGTGGGCCTAACCAGATACGATGGGTAAGCTCAGCGTTCGTTCAGTCGCTCCTAAAGCTGGAAATGGACCAAGAATGTTTGTTACGTCTTTCTGGGCAAAAATCTCACTTTCCCGTTTTTTCGCACTCTTTTTTTTCTCAAATTCTCATGTCGAGAGGAGTCAGATGGGTAACTCCTGCTTCTTCGGCATTCTTGCTTTTGAAAGAAAAATGCTGATGAGATCTGATAGCTTTTCGGGAATCTGCAGTAGATACGTTTGCCTTGTAAAACGTCCAAATAAGAAATCACCCCTCGTTCGTGCAAAGCTCGATAACGAGGGGAAACCTGACCTCGTTATCGAGCACTGCAGAGCTGTGGCGTGACTAACTAGCCAGCTTTTCCTTCCTCTCCTTTTCCTTCCTCTC